GCCTGAGGGCGCTTGGGTGCCCCCCCCGCGGAGCTCGGCGGTGCTGCCCACCGGCAGCGCAGGTACGTGAGTGCGGCCGGCGGCACGGTCCCGTCGGTCGGCCGGGGGGAGGGGATGGCGGGCTGAGCCGCGGATGGCGGCGGCCATGCTTAGGGGGTGATAAACCAGACTAAAGCCTTTCATCTCTGTCGTTTTTAGCCTCTCTGAGACAGTTGCATTCATCACAGCTTGCTTTGGGCAGAGGGAGCACTGTAGGGTTAGCCCGACCTTAAGCTTCCTCCTGTGGAGACGGCGTTTAAACACTCATGGGCTCCCTCGGGAAGTGCCTTTGATTTGATGCCTGCACCAGTTCAGTTGGTAGGTGGGGAGATGAGCTGCATTTTGGTTGTACCTGGGGCTTCCCGGTGCCACGAGGAGAGGTTAGGATGCTGCAGCTACAGCTGGGAAATTTCCCAGCTTTCCTTGTTATGCATTTCCAGTAGGACTTTTTTTCCTCTGATGTGGGCTAACGGCCCACAGTAACGGCCGGTAAGATTTTGCTTAAATTGAAAAAGGCCTGTTGGCATTCTTGAGGTGAACTGGGAACTCAGCCAGGTTTGGGTTGGAGACTGCTTTGAATGCTGACCATAAAGTGAGTTGGAAGCCTGATGGACTTCTTGCTCTTTCCTCGCAGAGACTTCAGCTACGCCTGTGCCTGGGGACTCTGTGCCATCGAGGAGTCAAGGCCGCATGTGGGTCTTGATTATTGCAGGTATGTGAGACTCGGAGGGCTGCACATGGTCTTGGTCCTGGCTTGGGCTATAAATTGGGTATCCTGATGGAGTTAATTCCTGACCTGTATCAGTAGCTGCTTTCGCTGGGCTGGGAGGGCTAGGGGAGGCCTTACACCACAGCTTAGTCATTCCTCTGACTTGGACGCACTATGACCTTGGAAAGGCCATTCCATGCGATCTGGCACTAACTCACTTCCTCTCTCTGTCCCTTATCCTTGAGGGAAGCTGCTGATCTCTAGCTGTTGGCTAATGCTGTTGAGCAACAGAGCCCAGTACTGATGTCCAGACCAGGTGCAGTGAGTGGTTCTCTGCTTGTGCACTTTCCTCTCTAGTGCTCCTGAGCATCCTGGTAGCTGTGGGTTCTATTGCTGTGTGGGGCCTGTCCAAAGCCAAAAGGAGATCTGACATCTTCAGTCTTGAAAAAGCATCCAGGGAACAGCTGATGCCTGACAAGAGCCAGACAGGCTCATTTCCCTGAAGGGTAAGTTTCTCGCACCCCATGCGCTCTGTATGCATGAGGGAGAAATGCCTTCTTGCCCTGCGTTTCTAGCCTCTAGAGCTTTCCCCACTGGGGGTAGCTTTTCCCAGCTGTTCCTGCTGCTGGTCAGCCACATGCTTGGGGTTTCAATCTGCCTTGAAGCAGCAGAACTCTCCCCTCATCTTCCTTCCTCGCAATCAGGCATGAAGGCTCTTGCTTGACTGCAGGGATAGTTGCACAGCCTACTCTGAGAAGATGATGGCTTCTTTTGATAGCGATGTGCTGGTCTCTGTCCTTCCTCTGCTGCCAAGGACACTGAGCACGCATGCTAAGATACTAATCTTCTGGTGTCGGTTGTTTTCCTCCACTTTGCACAAACTGAAGTCAAACCAGGTTTTTGCCCAAAGGACTGTGAATAACCAGGTGTTTTTCTGTTCTTGTAACAGGGATCTTTACCATGAGGTGATAAGATGGGACTAGCCTGGTCTCCCCTCTGCTCCCCACAGATGCTGACTGAATTGGACATCAGCTCTCAAATCTGGGTTGTTACACTGGAATAACAAGGAGGATGCTCCCCTTGGAAATGGGTCTTAGATTGTGGGACTACTTTGGCTCTGGAAAGAGCACAGAACCTTCCCCGGTGCTGTGAAATCACCCCTCACAAAGGTGGCAGAAATTTCTTCATTGTTCTTGCCTCCAGGGGTTGTTAATGCTGATTCTCACCAGTGTGGCCTTGGACCCAAAGATTTTATTCTCCATGAAATGACAGGTGCTAGGTGCTATTCAACTGTTTCCTTCCACTTCCAAAGCCAAGAGACTTTTTTCACCTGCCCCATTCTTCCCCCTGGATATTGTCAGGGAATGGGGGCTTTCTCATCCATTTCGGTAGGAGCTCACTGACTCCGCACAGATCAGACACATACTCCATGTTTGCGCTAGTGTTTTGATGCTACTCAATCCGATGTACAGGAAGCTTTTACTGACAGGTCAACCACAGGGGTGAAAGTTGAAAATCTTCCTGTCTGCTCTGGCTTTGCTGCGCTGCCACCCTGAGCGAGCAAGGGGCAAGCAGCTTCTCGGCACACTCCCTTCCAGCAAGGATCTCCGCCCTTTGCAGAACTCCACTTTCCACCCCAGTGCTGAACTCTGGATGTTGCTTCTCTAACACTGTTAATGGTGTCTTCCTTAAAACTGTTTTGACGTGAGTGGTGTCCCTCAAGGGTACGTACTGGGACCAGTGCTATTTAATACCGTCATCAGTGGTGTGTGTAGTGGGATCAAGTGCACCCTCAGCAAGTTTGTGGATGACACCAAGCTGAGTGGTGCAGTTGATTACTTGAGGGAGGGGATGCCATCCAGAGGGACCTTCAGGCTGGAGAATTGGACCCATGTGAACCTCCTGAAGTTCAATAAGGTCAAGTGCAAGGTCCTGCACCTTGGTCAGGGCAATCCCTGAAGAAGAGAAGGCTCCAAGGAGACCTTACTGTGTCTTTTCAATATATAAAAGGGACTTGCAAGAAAGATGTAGAGAGGCTTTTTACCAAGGCCTGTAGTCCTGACAGGACAAGGGGCAACAGTTATAAACTGAAAGAGGGTACATTTAGCTTGGACATAAGGAAGAAATGTTTTATGATGAGGGTGGTGAGACACTGGCACAGGTTGCCCAGAGAAGTTGTGGATGCCCCATCCCTGGAAATGTTCAAGGTCAGGTTGGACGGGCCTCTGAGGAACCTGATCTAGTGAAAGATGTCCCTGCCCACAGCAGGGGGGGTTGGACTGGATGATCTTTAAAGGTGCCTTCCAACCCAAACCATTCTATGTGTCTATGAGGTTTTGAGTGTTTGGCTTTTTGGCTTTTTTTTGGTTGGTTCGTTTTGCTTTCAGCTTGAAATAACTCGTGTCTTGGATCAAACACTCTGCATTGTGGCATGTGTAGCTCTTTCCGAATGGCTCAGAGCTGTACGCTTTTCAGAAGAACTGTCAGTGGAGGCAGGAGATTATTGACCAGTGCCTCTAGTTCAGTGTTGACCACGTATTCCTTCCACAAGTGTTCACCAAGTACAGAAAAGATAGAAAGCTGCTGCCTTGGCTGCTTGATCTCTGTGCCTTAAAGGTGAGAACTTGCCTTGCCGAGCAGACACCGGTCATCAGCCTTAGAGCAGGAGTTTTCCACTCCTGGATAGTGTGAGTGTGCTGCTGTACCCCACAGGAGAAAATTCTATATGTGGTACTGAGTTATTCCAGTGCTGCTATTGTTAGTACCAAGAGGTCATTTGCAGGGGTGCACACAACCTTGCTTCTGTTTCCACAGGGACAAGTGGAGATAGCTGTTGGTGAATGACACAGG